CGTAGGCACAGGACAGCACAGGTGGGCACTGCCCAGTCAGGGAAGCTGCCGGCTGCACGCAGGCACAGCCCCAAACGCGGCCGTCACTCAGAAGCTCCTATCCTCAGGAAGCATTGGCCCCTGTGTCCCCCAAGGGGCCAGGGTGTGTGTGCAGGGTGGCTGAGTGTCCTACTGACATGGCAGCTTGGGGCCTGGGAGGGTGTTGGCAGGACACCTGGGCTGGACCTGGTGGGTAGGTGCTCAGAACCCAAGGCCCCCTTGCAGGACAGGGGACAGGCAGAGGGCCTGCCCCATCTAGGCCAGGCCTCCCCACCAAGCCCAGCTGGTCCTGGGGCGCCCCCTGCTGCCTGGGGTGTGGCTGCACAACTGGGGCCAGGGCTGTAGCGGGGGCACAGTCTGGGGCCCCCTCAGGTCACAGCCAGCTGGGGTGAGGTGTCCAGCTGGCCCCAGGCTCTGAGAGCTCGGGTGGTCCGCTGGGCACTGTGGCTGCAAGTGGAGGGGTGGCCAGAGCCTGGGCAGCGGGGGCCTGGGGTGACGCTTGGACCGAGCGGCGCTGCACTGGGATTTCGGTGGGCAGAGCAGTCCCGGGCCCAGCGGTGACAGAGAACAAAGGCCCTGAACTGAGCCCCGTGGCTTTGAGAGTAGCCTTTATTATTCAGGGAACAGGGTGTCCTCGGGGTGTGGGCGCCACGGTCTCTGTTGAACCCCAGTTGTGGCCTGGAAGCGGGAAGCCAGGTGGACTGGCCTGGGCAGACGTGTGGCCGCGGCTATGGGGCTGGGGGGCAACCAGGCCCTGACTCAGCCAGTGCTGGATGGGGGCGAAGCCCCGGCTTCTCCCGACGTGGTCACAGCCGTGCTGGGGGACCCGCAAGCATAGATCCCTGCATACCCTGCCACTCTCTCGGTGGGTCCGTTGAATCTGTCCCACTGTGACCCCAGGAGCCGTGCTCTCAGCACGCCTACTGGACAATCCGTAGGGCGATCCCCAGCCTCGCAGGGGGCGACGGGACCATCTACACCCCTCCCGGGGTCCCCATCGACGCAGGAGTGGGCACCTGGCCCACAGCCGGCCAGTGACGAGAGGCCCCCACTCCCTGGCGCACCCAAGCCCTCGCTCCGCCGGTTTTCCAGCCTACTGAGAAACGGAGGGAGAGGCAGGGTGTAGAGGACAGCAGAGAGACTGGGGGGAGAGCAAGAGGTGCCCAGGGGGACGGGGCACCGGCCCTGGGATGGAGAGATGCAGGGAGGTGTGGTCTGGAACTTGCCACGTGGCACCAAGCTGGTGGGAGCAGCGTTTATGGTGCTGCCGGTGGGAAGGGTGCAGTTGGGGGCTCGGGCTGGGCTCCTTGAGGCAGAGGTGTCAGCGGACCTTCGTCCTCTGGGGCCACCCAGCACCTGTCCCTCCCTCAGAGAGGCCTTCCCCCTGCCCACAGGTGGCCTTGGCAGCGGTGGGTGGCCCTCAGTCCCACTGCCTGCCTGCCTAGCCAATCCAGAAACCACTGCGGGGCCACACGGGGAGCAGCTGGGAAGAGGCAGGTGTGCGGGCCCAGGCCCAGGGCAAACACGGCCTGAGGTTGAGCAAGCTGGTGTGACCTTGAATTGACCGGTGGCAGCTGGGCAAAGGGTAGGAAAGGGCTGAGGCTGACCTCTTTGAATGACTGTATAGATGCCATCCGCTGTGGACAGTTCTTGGGAGGTGGATGCAGAGAGGGGCGCTTCCATCATTCCAGCCCTCCTTCTGCCTGACCCCTGACCCCCACCCCCAGGTTCCCACTGCCGGCTGAGGGCACCTGGGACCAAGGTACTAAGGCTCCAGCTAGGGCAGCACAGAGCAGGCTGGCTCAGGATGTGGCCCACTCCCACCTGAGGGCCCCGGGGGGGGGGGGGGCGGGGCCCTCAGGCCTGCCCCCCCATTCTTGGAGGAGCCTGAGGCAGTGAGTGGCACGTCACTGGGGCCCACCCAACCCCGCCAGGAAGGTTACCCGTGGTCCCAGGTCTGTGGCTCAGAGACGGGCAGGAATGGGCACGGTGTGGGCTGGGTGACCAGCAGATGCCACGTCCTCTCTGGGGAGGGGGCAGCCCTGTCACACGTGCCCTGCAGCGAGAGGCACCATCAGGCCCATGGGCACCTGAGCTCGGCCACCACTGGGGTGCGGATCTGGGTCCTGTCAGAGCCCAGCACCCAGCACCCTGAAGGGTGGTCCAGAGGCACGAATGGATAAATGTGTGTGCACAGATGCATGAGTACATGGAGGGGCGCAGACGTGTATGAGTTGTACGTGTATGTCTGTGTGCACAGGTGCGTACCTGCAAGTGTGGAGGCCGTGTGCTGTGTCCCCTCCAGGCTGGCCCTGGCCCTGGCCCTCCCCCACAGGTCTCTGGGGAGGGGACACGCTGGCGAAGGTGCGTATGAGTTTGGGGAGAGCAGGAAACCCGGGAAAGAGGAATGGGTAGGACCCTCGGACTTGGAGGAGCCAGTGCAGCATGTTGGGGGCAGGCAGAGAGGTTTGGAGGCCTTGGACCTCACCCTGGATAATGGGGGGGGGGCGGCGCAGGGGTGCACACAGGTATGTGTGCAAACGCCTGTCCCGGGTCAGCCACAGCGTGGTACGTGGCCCCACCCAGCACGTGACAGGGATGGGCAGGCCTGGGCCCCAGGCAGCTGGGCCTGGATGCGGGGAGCAGGCCGCCTTCTCCCAGCTGCTCCCCAGCACCGTGCCGAGGCCGGCGGCCAGCCACGTGCCCTCCTCAGGAGCCAGCCTGCGCTCCCCAGCCAGGCCCCACGGAGGACCCTGCTGACGTCAAGAGTGGGTACAGGGACTTCCCTGGTGGTCCAGTGGTGAAGAATCCGCCTTCCGATGCAGGGAACGTGGGTATGATCCCTGGTCAGGGAACTAAGATCCCACATGCCGCAGGGCAACTAAGCCCGCGCGCCACAACTACTGAGCTCGCACGCCTCAACTAGAGAGACTGTGTGCCGCAAACTACAGAGCCCACGTGCCCTGGAGCCTGCGCATCACAACTAGAGAAAGGAAACCTGCTGCCAAAACTAGAGAGAAGCTCAGCGCTGCAACAAAGAGCTTGCACACCGCCAACGGAAGATCCCACATGCCTCAACAAAAGATCCGCGTGCCACAACTAAGACCCGATGCGGCCAAAAATAAATTAAATAAATAATTTTTAAAAATAAAATCTTAAAAAAAAAAAAAAAAGAGTGGGTCCAGCCGGGCCCTGCGCCCTGGGCCCACTTCCACAGGGAGGCGGTGGCTGTCAGGGCAGGGAGGCCACCTCCCAGCTGGGTGACCGTGGGTGGTGTCAAAGCTCATGCTTCTCTCTGGCCTCACCTGAGAGACGGGGATGGGACTGGGGCCACTGGGAGTCCAGGAGTCAGCACCAGCGGCCGTGCACATTCGGACCATGGCAAGCCATCTGTCTTCAGCTCCCAGGGAAGGCCCCGAGCCCCAGGGGAAGCAAGGCCCTCCCATATGGCACCGCGGCGGGGCCTCAGGCAGCAGTGGGGAAGGAGGAGCCTGGAGAGAAACTGGAGGCCTCAAAATGGCCCCTGCCAGATGCACCCCCGTGGGACCCCCACCCCCCATCCAGGCCTGATCGCTGCCACCACAATGAGAACCTCAGTGACCCTGACCATCAGGCGTCAGAGTCTCCTGAGGGCCCAGCTCTGCTCACCGAGAAGCATGGGGGGCCGCCAGGGCCCCTCTCCTGGCCTGGTGCCCAGGCCTCCCCAGGCCCTTGCAGTGCCCACTGCTGCCACGCACCCAGCAGGGCTGCAGACGTGGGGGTTGGGGGAGAGCCGTCAGGCTGGTGTCCTGTCCACGTAGCTGCAGGACCTCTCCACACCCTGGCGATCCTGGAAGGGGCCGAGACTTGCAGGGTGCTGGGGAGGGAGTGGTAGCCTGAGCCCCTCCCTGTTGGGGGCCACTCCCCAAGGCCTGCACCTGGGAGGGCTCTGGGCCAGCGGCTGGAAGGCCCCGGCTTTCGGCAGATGCCAGGCAGTGTGAGTTCTGGGGCCTTGTCTCCTGGCCTCCCCTCCCTCGATCCTGGGGTCAGACAAACAGGTCGTTCTTCGGGGTGGGAGAATGGCATGCAGATGTGGGACGAAGGTGCACACGGGCCTGCACGTCCCCCTTGGGCCAGCCCGTGGCAGTGGTAGCCTGCCCACAGGGCGTGGGCTGCAGCCCAGAGGCACCCCCAGCCACCCTGGGGCTTGACTCCTCCAACCAGACGCCACCCCCGGTCGCCACCACCTGCCCCCAGACCTCCCCTTCCAGCAGCCCCCTGCCTCCCAGCATCCTGTCCCCAGGGGGGCGGGGAGGCAGGGCTGGGGAACCAGCCTCACTTCACCTCTGGGCCTCGGCGCTCCCCTCCAACCTCCCCCACCTCGCACTCCCTCCACGCCGGCCTCGGTGGCCTCTCCTCCGCACAGAACACCCGCTCGCAGACCTGAGCCTCACCTTACGGGGCTGGGCAGCACCGGCCCCTCCCACCCAGCCTCCCGTGCCTCCACCCGGACCCCCTTCTTGCCCAGCCTCCCCCGGGAACCATCCAGCCACAGCTCTGTCTTGAGAGCCAGCCCGGCACAGGCACAGCCAACGCGCACCGAGGAAGCCAGCCCTCCCCCTCCCCCCTCCCCTGCCTCCAGCCCACCTCCCGGGAGGTTCCCTGAGCATGCCCCTCCCCGGTCACCTCCGGTCCGGCCCACCATCTGCTCCCTGCGCAGTGCAATGAGCCCCCAGCCCATGAGACTCCTCTAAGAGCCGCTGAAGCCAAGCACGCCCTCCTAGCCCCAAGAGGGGCCCAGGGCCAGGATGGCCCACAGCTGGGAACAATGGCACAGGGACTTCCTGTGAAAGTGGACATGTCACTGATGGTTCCCCATCAGTCAAGGCCAGGAGTGTGGAGCTTGGAGGGCAGGTACCCCTGCCTCAGCCTCACTCCTCCAGGGAGCCAGACAGGGAATTGTAGACCACAGACTCAGTGGGTTTCTGCTTAAGGAACGATCTTTCTGTTTCACCAAGCCAACCCTCCACTCCAGCCTTGCAGGAGCCCTGGAGTCCAGGCTGGCTGCAATGGTACAGGCCGAGGGGCACAGCCAACGGCCTCAAAATCCACCCCCCACCCCCGCAAACTCTGATGCACTCCGGGAGGGTGCACTCTAGGAGGGGTCTGCCCTCCCCCCAAGGACACCTCCAGGTAAGCGGTGCCCAAGCCCAGACCAAGAGTGGTCCCTGGGCCTTCCAATGAGGAGGCCTGGCCCGGGAGGCTCTGGGTGGCAGGAACCACCCAGAGCAGGGCTGCCAAGCTCGAGGCCCCTCTGCCGGCTATGCCTCTGTGGACGGCGAGCCTGATCGCAGCTCAGACAGGAAGCACTTCTGGCTCCCTCACCCAGGCGGCCACGCAGGCTACCCGCGGTGGCTGTGCACGTGTCTGCCGAGTGATGCCAGCTGGCCAAGCAGCCTCTAGGCTCTTGGGTGCAGATCTGTGGGGTCCCCAGGGCCCAGGCAGTGGCAGGGAGATGTGAGCGCCTGGCTGGGGACTTCGGCTGGAGATACACAATCAATTCTGGACCAGCGGGACACAAAGTGCTTCTCAGACATGGCAAGGAGGTGAGGGGCGCAGGGAAGCCAGCTCCACACAGGCGAGGAGGGTCCTGGAGCCCGCCCAGCCCTCCGCGCACTTGGACAAGCGGCTGGGGCTCCCCGTGCCTTAGTTTCCTTCCGTGGGACACGACATTGCCGCCTGCAAGGGTTCTTGGGCCGTGAGACCCACCTCTGACCGGATACAGACAGCTGGTCCGGCTCCCCTTGCTGGGCAGAAACACTCCTCACGTTGCTCAAAACACGGTCGCAGCGAACAGCAAGTGCCACAGAGGCCGCGTGTGGCTGTGGAAGAGGGCAGCAGGGCAGGCGGGCCAGCACCCATCTTGTCACCAAGTCTCGGCGCTCACGCCTGTGAGCTGGCCCCAGAGGCCCATCTGACCCCTCAGGACACTGCCGGCAGCAAGGTCACGCCTCAGTAGCCATCGTCATCGTCGCCATCACAGCCGTAATCTGCAAAGCACAAAAGAGTCACGGACACTGAGGGGTGCCGCGTGGTCAAGCAGCCCAGGCGCCGCACGCTGCACCCGCCACCGCCCACCTCGTGAGCGGCGCCCCAGGCCACGGCCGCCCCAGAGAGGCTCCAGCCCCAGCCCCGCAGGCCACGGCTGCACGGGCCCCACCACCACTGACGGGGACCACCGCGTCGGTCCCTCCATCTCTGCAGGCCCCGGGGGCAAGCGCCCATGCGAGCGGTGCAGAGTGGGAACCTTTCCCCTGCTGGACGGACAGCCCAGAGCCCCAAGTCTGCACAGCAAGCAGGTCCTGGCCAGCTCCTTCTAGCAGCCTGGGCCTCAAAACCAATACAGCCAATCGTAAGACGCCAGTTCAAATTCCCTTCCGAGGTGCAGGCAGGGGTCTGTGCCTCCTCTCCGGGAGCCCCCGCCCCGGCCCAGCCGCTTGCGGAGGCCGCTCACCGTCGCCGCCCACCATCTGCAGGCAGGGGCCTGTGCCTCCTCCGGGAGCCCACGCCCCGCCCCGGCCGCTTGCGCTTGCGGAGGCCGCTCACCGTCGCCGCCCACCATCTGCAGGGCGCTGACACAGGGCTCCCCATCTTCCTCGTCGGGGTCCTCCTCGTCCGCGTCCTCCTCTGGGTGGTACGACACTGGCCCACTCTCCACCACGACCGCTGTGGGCCTGACGGGCTCGGCTTCCAGGGAGGGGGGACTCGGGAGCAAGGCCTGCTGGCGAGGGGGTGAGCTGGGGACAGAGCATGGCTCCCAGGCCACCGCAGGGGAGTGCTCTCCGGGGCAGGGTGGACACTCCCCACCCTTCAAGAGTGGTCAGTGAGGACACCCGATCCCCTGAGCCTGCCCCTGCAGCTGCCGTGTGACCCCGCAGGGGCCCTGCCTCTCCCTTTTGTTTCCTAGGCCAGACCAGGACCCCAACAATAAGAAGGGAAGACCCTTGAACCCCAAGACAAGGGAAGAGGGAAGGCCACTGACCACGCTGGACCCTGGGACCTGGGCCTGGCTTCCCACACGGAGGATTGCGATGGCCGTGGGCTGGCACACACCGGTGGGCTCAGGCTTTCAGGCCCCGGGCCGCCCCTGGGCCTCAGGCCTCCCCCTGGCTGGGCTGAGCTGGGCTGGGCTGGGCCTGCCGGAGCAGCGGTGCTGGCACTCCCACCCTGACACGCTGCTCACGGACGCGGTGCCGGGCGTCTGCTGTTTCCCAAGGATCCCTGTCCCCCGGCTATGTCCACATAACGCACCTCTCCCACGGCCACCTTCTTAGCTGGCTGCGTCGACACCATCGGCCTCAACCTGGAAGAAAGCACAGCACCGTGGCCTCAGCCCAGGCTGCCCCATCGGCCACGAGGACACGGGCCCCGCTGGAAGGCCTGTTCTCTGTTGGCAGCATCTGGCCAGATGTAAAGGATGACGGTGTACTGAGGCTCCCGTGGCACCACCCTGACTGGGTCTTGTCCACCCAGTGGCTGCGCCTGGGCCTTGAGCGCTGTCCTGTCACCTCCTCCACCCAGGCCTGGCAGCCCACCCTGCCCCACCCCAGCCCCTGCATTGTCCTTCCCCCGACCCCACCGGCTGGGCAGGTGGCTGGGTGAGTGGGCCGCCCTCTGGGCCTCTTCACGTCTACCCAACAGACATGGCGCAGGCAAGGTTCTTCCCCGGGGCCTGGGTGAGCACTGCACCCATAGGCAGGGCAGGGCCAGGGCGCTGGGGATGGGGGCGCGGGGAGCCAGAAGCAGCCGGAAATCTGGATTTTTGTATGAAAGCTTCTTTTTAAATGTTGGCAGCAAATTCAAAGTTCATTGAAGCCACTCTGCAGGGCGACAGAACGTCCCTCTGGACAAAACCCCCATGTATTCGTCAATACTTGATGAAGGATTAAAAACTAGAATCACACTGCCCTGCCACCCAGGCACTCCAGGTCCCCAGGCCAGCTGTTTTCTGAAGCGGTCCTGGGCCATCTGCTCCCTGCCACCCCCCATACTTCCAGGAGAACGTGTGGAGGCTGCGGGAGACCCCTGTTCAGTCCTCCCACTGGTCCATCCTGAGTTTTCCCTGTTGCTGGAAGAGGAGGAGGGGGAGAGGCACGTTCTAAGACCCAAGCCTGCCCCGCCCCTCCCCTCCCCTCCCCTCTCTTCCCAGCCTGAGAGTCTTGGTTGCCCCCTCCAGCCCACCAGGCCCACAGCACCCCCCACAATGGGCTTCTTCTTCCTCCCTCGGACCCTCCAAACACAAAACTCAAGGCGCTTTCTATACAAAACCCACTGCAAGGGGCCGGGGGCGCACACCAAGGCTCCCCGGATGCCGCTGACCTGCCTAAGCGTGACGGCAGGACTCCCACGGGAGATGAGGCAGGTCCTCCTCCCAGCCCTGGCCGCAGGAGCCGTCCAGACCCAGGGACCCGCCCACCAGACCTGTGTAGGGTGGCCAGGGCAGGGGCAGAGTCCACACTGCAGCTGCTTCCCTTCAGGGCACAGCTTGAAGGAAGATGGGCGGGGGCAGGGAGGGGGCGCAGGTGATCGAGCTGCACCCATGGCGGCCCCAGCCCCGCACACCCGCTACCCTGGACCCTCCTGGCTATCTGACCCAGCCCTGCTGTGACGTGCCAATGAACGCTGGGCACACGGGGAGTGGACCCCGTAACAGCCTCCGACAGTGGACACCTGACGGCGGGGGTCTGGCCCGTCAGGCCAGGTCTGGGCAGCCCGCCCCGTGAGGGCGTTGGAAGCAGTGGCTCTGGGGTCTCACAGGAAGCCCTCATTCTACACGGTCTGGGGCTGCAGCCTGGAGGGGACAAGGCGGCAGCTCACGCAAGGCTGTGCCCAAGCTCAGAGGAAGCCCCTCCCACACGGACGGCTCTCCGGGTCCCCACGTGTCACCTGGGGAGACGTGAGCTTGGAGCCACAGCCGTAACAACCCGAGGCCCAGCAGAGAAGTCCAGAGTCCCCAGAACCCGGAAGGCGGGAGCCAGTGGCGCGCTCCCTACCGACCGAGGGCCAGCCTGGCTGGGAGAGTGCGCCATCAGCGGATGGGGTGAGAGCGGCTCCTGACGTGAGGGCCGGCAGGAGGTGGGTCTGGGTCTCGGGCCCTCCTCTCAAGGAGCGTCCGGCAGCCGTCCACACACGGTCCTGCGGGCAGCCGGGTGACTGGCTGGGCCTCTCAGGGGGGTCTGCGAGCACTTGGGGACACGCTCCTCCCTTCAGCCCACAGCCCCAGCCAGCCGGTGGCCTGGAGGACCCATGGCTGCCCCACAGGGCCACTGCCCCACCACTTTTGCAAATGCACTGCGGGCATCAGCCACCAAAATGCTCACGGCTGGACGGCGAACACCATGTCCACGAAGGAACGGCCGGACTGTGCGATGGGGCTCGGCCACAGCACCTTCCATTGACAAACACAGGCTGAGCCTGAGCTCTGGGAAAGCAGCCCCCCTCACCCCCGTGCATGGTGATGGGAGCAGGGGACGCCGAGCTTGGGGGTGAGGCGCCCCCTTGCCAAAGGGCAGGCTGAACAGGACAAGGCTGCCTGCCACGACCCGGGAGCACATGCAGCGGCCACACCGCGTCCAGGTCGGGGGGTGGGGGGTGGGCGCTTCCCAGGCTCCAGGAGAGCGGGGGCGGGCCTCCCGCAGTGCCCGCTCTCGTGCCTGTCATCAGAAGGGAGCACGGGGGGGCTTCTCTGGTGGCGCAGTGGTTGAGAGTCCGCCTGCCGATGCAGGGGACGCAGGTTCGTGCCCCGGTCCGGGAAGATCCCACATGCCGCGGAGCGGCTGGGCCCGTGAGCCATGGCCGCTGGGCCTGCCCGTCCGCTGCCTGTGCTCCGCAATGGGAGAGGCCACAATAGTGAGAGGCCCGCGTACCGCAAAAAAAAAAAAAAAAAAAAAAGGGAGCACGGAGACACCCAACAGGACCAGGACCAGCTGTCCAGACACTGACAGGCTGTACTGGGTGCTTGGGGACTTGGGGGAATGGGGACTCGAAGAACAAGGAAGTGGGATCACCAAATTACAGAAAAAGTGTCGCAAAAACTGCGAAAAATGATTACTCCCACTTTAGAGAACAGAAATGCAAATCAGAACATCTTTACTTCTCAGATGAGTCAGCACTAGAAAATGGTAGCGACAGAGGAGAGGGGGTGGGGTGGTGGGAGTGCAGCCCCACAGGGCCCTCCCCTCTGGAATCCCCCTCGAGCACAGCCTGGAGCCAGGCTGCAGGCACAACGACCAGCCTGGGCCGTGCGGCAGGGGGCTCTCGGCCTGGGGCGAGGGGCACTGCAGAGCTGCCAGGACCTGGCTCCACAGCGGGGGGGGGGGGCGTTGCGCAGAGCAAGGCGGGGGCCCTACCGGGAGAACGGACCCCTGGGGTGGAGAATGGGCCCGGCCCACAAGTCTCTTCAAACAGAACAGACCCCAATGCAGCAGGACCCCTTCCAGGGCTGAAACCCTGCTCAGCTCCTGGCCAGGGCAGCGGGGGCCACGCTGGACACAGACACTGGTTCCCAGCACACACGTGGGGAATGCCCCGCAGCCCCGCGCCCACCCGACACCCAGCCCGCCTGGCACGGTACCTTTTCCCCACGCTGGCCACGGGATCAGCCCCGCTCCTCCTGGCTGGCGTTTTCCGCCGAGACAGCTTCCTGGCGCCAGCCCTCTCCTGAGGCCGGGCGTCCTCCCTGTGTGGGCTGCCCCCGCCCTTGCTGTCGAGGTCCCGGAGCACGCTGTAGTTGATCTTGCTGGAGATCTTCTTCTGCTCCAGCATCTTCTCGATGGCCTCCCCAGCCGTGCTAGCCTGGATCGGCTCCCGTCGCTTGCAAGACTTCTTGGGCTCAATGGAAACACAACGTTACGCTTCCTGTAGGTCTCGGTCCTATGAACCTGCCAGGTGCCACTCAGGACGTGGGAGCGGGGCTCAAACAATCGGGGTCGGCTGGGGAGTCTTACTCTCCCTGGAGAGTGGGGCACCCGGGCAGTCCAGCACTGTAGGGGCCACTGGGCAGCTGCAATCTGCCCACAGCCCACCGTGCAGAGCCCCGGCCAGGCTGGGCCCCACGCAGGCTTTCCCAGGTCACAGGTCACCGGGGGTGGGGGCTGGCCGGGCGTCTGCCAGTGGGAGGCCAGCACAGCGCAGGGTGGGTGGCCGGGAGCTCTCAGGTCCCTGAGGAAGAGGCCGCGCCCTACCTTGTGCTCCTTGTAGATGCCGAGCTCCCTCTCCTTCGCGATTCTCGCTTCTTTCTCTGAAAGGTCAAGGAGCAGGGTCAGCACGGCTGGCGCCCCAGGGCCCCTGGGCAGGTGGGGGTCCGTGAGGCCCGCGTTCCAGGGCGCCTGGGCGGGTGGGGGTGCATGGGGCCCGCGTTCCAGGGCGCCTGGGCGGGCACTCACCCCTCTGCTCCCGCAGGTACTCAGCATTCTCCCGCATCCACAGCTCGGCCTTCACGCGGGCTTCGGCCTCGTTCAGGATGTACTGGGGCAGAGCGCAGCATCACAGTCAGAGGGCACACGCAGAGCTCAGCTCTGCCAACGTGCTCCCCTTCATACACACTGGTCAGGAAGCAGGCCTCCGACCCAAGACGGAACGTGTGTGGAGACCCGGCTAACACCTCGGCGCCCTTTACCCTTTCCAGGCCGGCCTGAGGGCCACATCCATGAACCAACCCCGCAGCCAACGCCCCCCGACTCTTGGCAGTTTGCAGTCCCCCTGGGCACGGGAGCCAGGCCAGCCAGAGCGTAGGGACATAGGTCCCGGAGGAGGAACTGAGGTGAGGGCTCAGGACGCCGACTTAAGGACACGCAGGTGGCCTCAAACACAAGGTGATTGGGGACAAATCAGGGGAAAGGCTTCCCGCCTGCCAGGGAACAAGCACTGCTGGACAAACTGCTAAGAGCCCGTCCGAACGACGGCAGGCCCAGGGGGACATGGAGCTGTGCCCCCAGCCCACAGGAGCTTCCCAATGGGGCGCAGCCTGGCACCCCACGGACCCCAACCAGCACCCCCGGCAAGGCCACTGAGAGCTCACGGCGCTTACCCTGTCAATCTCGAGGTCATCAATGCCGCTGAGGTCTAGCTCACCGTCCCCGGAAGCATCTTCTAAAGGGAAGCAGAGCCTGGCGTTTAGGGCCGACGTCCAGTTAAATGAGCGCATACATCACCTGGGCCGTCTCAGGACTCCGGGGTGCGGCCAAGGGCTTCTAGCACCCGCTTCCTCCCAGCCACCGGCCGGTCCCGGCCCCACTCCTGCGAGTGCGGGGCACAGGCTGAGGCGACACCCCAGCACCTTGCGGAGGAGGCGCGATGCTAACTCGGAAGACCTTCCAGTCCTCACGCTCTCCCGTACAGAGTGCTTTTCAGATCAACAAGCCCAGGAGAGGGGGCCTCGGGGAGCCTTCCGGGACTATGCTCAGGACACCCCCAAAACCTGTCGGCCACCACCCTCCTGCCCCCGCTGGTCAACAGCACAACCTGCACGGCCCAGAAACCGGGGCTGCCCCTCCTGTGGGCTGGCCCTCCTGTGGGCCGCCCTTCCCGTGGGCTGCCCCTCGTCATCCGACGGTTCTCTGCCCCGTCCTGCTGGTTCCAGCCCGACGGGAACCGGGAATGCTCTCCTGCCAGCAGGCTGTCGGGGATGCTCTCCTGTCACGTTGCTGCTCCGCGGCTGAGGCTGGGCGCTCGGACACACCCCCACGCCCCTCTGCGGTCAGCCTTGCTCCCCTTGCTCTGTCAGCTCCAGCCAGCTTGGCCTCTTTCTGTCCAGGTCGCAGTGCCCCCCAGCTGCCTCAGGGCCTTTGCACATGCCCTCTGCTCAGTGCACTGTGGGACCTGCCCCGGGTTCCACTCATACGGCAGCCCCTTTGGGGTACAACCCACATGTACCTAACTGATGGGCTGGGTCTGTGTCACATCCCTCTCCCCTCTAGACCACCATGGCCACCAGGGTAGGCGTATGACCGCCCATCGCCACGCCCAGCCACAGGGCACGGAAGGAACACCTGAGCAGCGTCCCTCTCACAGAGGTTCCTTGCACACAGACGCCAAGCCCTTGGTGCCCAGAAGAGAGGAAGCAGGGCCCACCTTATGGTGAAACTGCGACAAGACCAAACCCACCGCCCTCCTGGAGCTGCCTGCACACCAGGCCCCCCTGGGGGAGGAACAGCTGGGCCCCTGCGCAGGCACCCCGGCACTGCAGGCACTGGAGCCCAGCGAGTGACATCCGTCTGACCAGTGGAGATGCCGCCTTTGGCCGACACTTTCCCACCAGGTTGGGTGCGAAGGTGCGGGCAGGGGATGCCAGCCTGTCCCCGTGGCCCCTCTGTAGCATGGGGCCTCTGCAATGAGGCCTCCCGAGTTGCACAGGGGCAGGAAGGAGCCTCCAGCCACAGTCCCACCAAACTGAGGGCTCTGGTCAGTGGAGGAGGGTCCCGGAGATGCTGACAAGCCCTGTGGCATTCAGGCGTCAGCACAGCTGGGGTCACTGATTGCTCACACAGCCTGCAGCAGAGCTGGCAGTGCCCCTCCCAAGCCCACCCTTCTAGAAGGCCCCTCAGAAGCAGCACCTCCAACTCCCACAGGCAGGCGGGGATGACCCAGACCTGGAAACCCCACCCCACCTGCCCGGAGGAGCCCCCCACCGTCTCTCCATCCCCCCTGCTCCCCCAGTCCCTGGGCACTCACTGGGGTCCCGGCTCTGGGAGGAGATGCACTCTCGGATGGAGTCCGAGATGCCCAGACTGGCCGCAGTGGGCAGAGGGCCGAGCAGGGACTCCAGGGCGGGGGGCCTACCGCCTCCCTCAGGGCCTCCTGCCGCCTCCGAGCTGCCAGGAATGCCTCCACCAAGGAGCTCCTGGTAAAAGTCCTTGTTCAGGTGGCTGGCAGCGGCCTCCAGCTCTTCATCCTCAGCGTCCTCCTCACCAAATAAGCTGGATGTGGTGTCCTCAACAGAGCCTAGGGACACAATTCCACACACCACGTGTTAACCAGCCAGGAAGCCAGAGGGCCCGCCTGGTGAAGAGGAGCGTTTCCGCCCGGCAGCAAAAGGCACTTATTCCAGAAGACGCGCCTCATCCCAAGGGCGCCCAACACCCACCCGCCCGTGACGGGCCTCGGCCCACAGTGCACACGCGACGCACAGGTTCACTCAGAAGCGATCAGCTGTGAGCCTAACGCTAAAACCAGAAACATTCCAGAGAAACAATGGGAAGACAGGTGACTGTGAATTAAACAAAAACTTCTTATACGTGACGTCGAAAGCAGAATCAATAAAGCACTGATAAGTCGGATTTCATCAAAATTGAGAACTCTAGGGCTTCCCTGATGGCACAGTGGTTGAGAATCTGCCTGCCAATGCAGGGGACATGGGTTCAAGCCCTGGTCCGGGAAGATCCCACATGCTGCGGAGCAACGAAGCCCGTGGGCAACAACTACTGAGCCGGCGCTCTAGAGCCCGCGAGCCACAACTACTGAGCCCACGCACCTAGAGCCCATGCTCAGCAGCAAGAGAAGCCCGTGCACCACAACGAAGAGTAGCCCCCGCTCACTGCAACGAGAGAAAGCCCACGTGCAGCAACGAAGATGCAACGCAGCCAAAAATAAATAAATTAATTTAAAAAAAAAAAACAAAAAACGAAGACAGTTACACGAATGTTCACAGCAGGTTACGTGCAACAGTCCAAGACTAGAAATAATCCCAGGGTCCTTTCACCCAGGACTGGGTGCACTCGGGGACCACTACTCCACAAAGAGGGCTGATCTAGCGACGGATGGCTCACAACTACACCGAGTGAAAAAGCCAGGGGAGAAACAGGGTACACACTACACGATCCCACGTACGTAAACAACATGCCTAATTTTCAGCGATAGGAGGCAGCTGCACACCGGGGTTGGCACTCGCCAGGCCCTGGGCCTGGAGTACACACCCCCGACCACGCGCACAGCTCCCTCACGCCCACTCGGCCCCTTGCTTGGAAGCCCACGCCATTACCGTGTGTGTCACCAGACATCCCACAAGAGGGCCAGCAGAGGGAGGACATCGGTCGGTCCACTCTGTCCGCCGTGGGGTCCCAGGGCCCCACGCCCTGCACGCACGCGACACGTCCTCCGCAGGGAAGGACTCGTACCTGCGTCCGTGGCCCGCGTCCTCCTCCACCCCTCCTCCAGCCCAGCCTCCATCCTCACCGCAGAGGAGGGGACGCGGGAGCTGAAGCTTCCTCGCCGGGGCTGGAGGCTCAGGGGCTGTTTGTGAGGCGGCAACGGATCCGAGGAGCAAGACCCGCGGCCAAGGCGGGCCGGGCCTGGCCCTTCCTTCTTGAGACAACGGACGCAACGTGGAGCTGGTCCAGATAACCAAACGCAGGGGCATGGAGGAGGACACGTCCCAGACGGTCTCCCCAGAAGGGAAGCGTGTGAAAAGCTGGAACTGGAGCAGGAGATGAGCGGCCCCTCCACAGCGCCCGGTAAGCGCGACGGCGGCCACTGGCAGCTGGGCGCGGGCAGGAGAGCGAGCCCGCATCCTCGCCACAGCTGGGCAGGTGCGAACAGGTGCTGCCCGAGAAACAGAGGACCGAAGAAACCACGTGAAGGACACCACTGGGACAAAAGCCAGAGCTTCCCAAGGTCCAGAGAACAGCAAGCAGAAAGGCACCTGAGCAGACATAAAAGAGCTCACTTCCACTGCTGGAAGAGAAAAAGCTCTCGGGCTGGATCAGAAAGCAGAGCCCAATTCTCTGCTTCTAGAAGAGGAGGACATGGACGGAAGAGGTGGGGCAGGCAGAGCAAAGACCACCAGGCGTGCCCCCAGGCCGCGGAGGGCGCCAGGCACCAAAAACAAGCCAGCCTCAGCTAAAACACGGCGGCCACCTCTGTCTGCAAGAGGACCTCAAAACTGACGACGCGACCAGTGAGACGCCCCGACAGACACAGAGCCCAGCCCAGCTGGACGGGAGCAGAGGGGGCCTCCTCCCAAGCACCACTGGTGTCTCCAACCAGCGCACCTGCGTTGATGGCACAAGGGAGGGACAGCGCCAGCAGCACACCCGGCCACAACGCAGTACGTGTGGAAGTTAACAACAAAATCAGAAAGCAAAAGCCCCCGCCCCAACTCTTAACTCCCTCACTTGACTCTTAGCACCAAAGACCAACGTACTCCGCGACTGTGAGTGGCGCGAAGCGTCTGGTGCCAGGACAGCGGGTCGCAGCTCTGACGACGCTCGGGCCCTGCCCTGCACGCGTGCGTCAGAGGGAACCAGCCGGGCAGCAGCCTCAGTTTAGAGCAAGGAGAGAAGCTGTGAGGAGGACAGAGCAGAGGGAAGCGGAAATCACCAACAGTGTACAGGAAGGCAGCAGGACTCATAAATCAGTGCAAGAGCTGGTTGAATGGGAAATCAACAACCTAGCTAGGTTAAAAAAAAACCAAAAAAAACACAGAAACAAACTATGCAGAATAAGAAAGGATAAAAATGAAAACAACCAGAGAAACAATAAAGTCAAAAGTATCGTAAGATACAAGTTTGTCCAAATCTGTGCCTGGATGGGGCGCTGTGGCAGCCTGAGAACAGAGAGGGCACACCGTCTGGCCAGGCAAGGCCTTCCCAGAGCCACGGGACACTGTGGAAATGACGGATCACATTCATTGACCCAGGAAAACCCTGTGTTCCTCTCTGCAGACCCTGCAGACATCAGAAACGCTCTCCGACGTCTGAGATAGGACGGTTCAGTGAAAACGGCGGTGGGTGTTTCCTTTACAGGACAACGTGGTATTTCAGCCCAAAGCGTGCAGTGTGTGTCCCGGGCAGCACAGAGGCCTTGCAGGGAAGCCGGATGACGTGCCCGTTGTCACAGGCAAGACTCAGCATGGTCTTTAAGGGTCAAGCAATGGACTAGGCAAGAGCTAGAAAGGAGGGGCCTAAAAATCGTGAAGGGCAGTAAAACACCACTATCTGTAGACGACCTAACTCACCAATTACTTGAATGATCCAATGATGAACTGAGAAGTACTAAGAGCAGTAACAGAGTCCCTAACGTACAGGAGCACGAAAGCAGCACCTAGAAATCAGCATCTTCCACAAACACAGCAGAGACGCCACTTATGGCAGCAACAGAGAAGGCAGTGCAGCTGGGACCCAAAGCACCTGACGCAAGGCCTCAGACTCAGAAGAAAACCCCCAGGAGGGAGACACCCCACTCTCGCTCTCGGAGGGAGGAGGCGCCAACCTGCCCCAGGTGATCGACAGAGTGGAGAGCTGGGCTGGCGCAGGCAGCGGCCAGGATGACTCTAAAGATCGGACAAGAAAGTGAACAAGGGCAGCTACAAACCCCAGGGAAGAGGCGGTGAGCAGGTGCTCGCCTTCCAGACTGGATGACTGATGGAACCGACGCTTACTCAGCACCCGTCCCTGTCCTGTGAGCCAGAGAGGGGGTGGGAGGGCGCCGGCCGCGGACCTGCAGCGTGTGAGCGGAGGGGGCGCCCCGAACCAGCCGGGGTGTCCCTGGAGCACGGCAAGGGAGGCAACGTGGGAGAAATGAAAACCACACATGCACAAAGAGATCTGTCCGAGGGGGCTCACAGCAGCTTCGCGAGGCCCCAAACCAGAAACGGGGGTGCGCAAGAGCTGCGATGGGACGCAGGGAGAGGCGGCAGCAGGGAGGGCTGTGTGGGCCGCGGCCACGGGCACAGGGCGAGCTCTTTCCCACAGGCAGCGTCTGCCAACGAGTGAGTACCCTGAGGACAACGGGGACAGCAGACTGGTCCAGAAGACTCGGCCGCCCCGGAGCTGCTGGGGGCAGGGTGGCTCGGGGTGTCCTGGGAGCAGCTGACGCCCAGCTTGGCGCGTGGAGGCCTGGGGCGGGGGTGGAGCCAAGAGACAGGACGCACGGCCACGGTGGGGGCGGCAGGAGGGGCAGGTGCCGGGCCTGGGTGAACCGAGCCAGCGGGCGAGGGGGCGTGGCTGGACTCACCATCTTTTGCCAGGCTGGCAAGGGCCCCCTTTGCCTTTGGCCGGCTGTTTTCTAGTTCAATCTCAATCGCGTCCTGATAGCTGGATATTTCACCTGAAGCAATAAATTAACAGCAAAGTGTAAGCACAGGGGACTTCCCTGGTGGTCCAGTGGCTAAGACTCTGCGCTCCCAGTGCAGGGGGCCCGGGTTCGATCCCTGGTCAGGGAACTAGATCCCACATGCGTGACTCAACTAAGGAGCCCGTGAGCCACAACTAAGGAGCCCGTGAGCCACAACTAAGGAGCCTGTCTACCACAACGAAGACCCAGTGGAACCAAACAAAGAAACAAATAAATAAATAAAATGTTTTTCTTTTAAAAAAGCAAGCACACAGTCCGTTCCTGTAAGGACCTGAAGCACCCGTACATTAAGATGGGCTGGTTACCTTCCACCTCCTCCAGCTGTTTTGACAGGACCTGTTCCAGCTGAAAAGGCAGAGAACGAATGCATTTAATGAGAGGAGCGAGAGCGGTGCCTGCCAGTACCCGGAGGCCTCTCGACCCCAACGCAGGTCCCCAGCCTGACAAGAGGGACTCGGGCTTCCGGCCCCCAGAGACATGAGCACCAGGGCCCTCAGGGAGGCGGTTTGCCCCGGAAACTGTACGGGATGCACTGAAGGGGGTCTGGGGAGACCCTCAGCAGATGAGATGGCTCCGGGCCCAGGAGGGACTGCGCTCAGTGTGGTGCACCCTGGCCCCCCCTTCAGTCTTCGTAGCTAAGCCACTGTTGTGAAGGAAGAGCAGGAAACGGGCGTGCGGCCCACCTGCTTCATCCGCAGCTTCCTCTGCCCAGCTGTGTACGACGGGGGGTCGCACTCCTCTTCCAGGTCGACCTTCATGAACTCGTCCACAGTCAGCTGACTGGTGGGGGTATCTTCAAACTCCGTGAGCCTGAAACAGATGCTTGAAAGGGAAGATGGTGCCCGAGAACAGCACTCAAACCAGCACCCAGGGCTTCCCTGCTGGCAAAGGGGCTGGGAATCCACCTGCCAACGCAGGGGACACGGGTTCGAGCCCTGGTCCAGGAAGATCCCACATGCCGCGGAGTCACTAAGCCCGCGAGCCACAACTACGGAGCCCGCGTGCCACAACTACTGAAGCCCACACGCCTAGAGCCCGCGCCCACACGCCTAGAGCCCGCGCTCCGCAACAAGACAAGCCACCGCGATGAGAAGCCTGCGCACCGCAACGAAGAGTAGCCCCCATTTGCAGCAACTAGCGAAAGCCCACGTGCAGCAAAGATCCAACGCAGCCAAAAAATAAATAAAACAAATTTAAAAAAACCCAGCACGCCGTTTACAAAACAGTCCCTCAGGGGTGCTGGTTCCCAGGCCCAGCACCCTGCCACACACAGCTGTGAGCACAGGCCCGGGGGCTGTCCGGCAGCCTCTCAGCCCCTACTCTATCCTGCCGATAGCTTGGGCCCCAGGGAGAAAAAGGCATGGCACCCTCATTGCTCCCACAGGTAGACTCAAGAAGGCCCCAGAAGGAAGGAGGCCGAGCCACGGGTCCCAGGCAGGCAGGGCTCCTGCACTGCAGTGTGCCCGGCCATAATTAATTCTTGTCCGTTTCCTACATTTTATACAATCTTCAAAATGTTCAACAGAAAAATTTTTAAAGAGAACCAGAGTTCAAATAAGCAAAATAAATTTCCCTCTGCCTTTGAAAACTGCCACAGGATATGATCTCAGTTGAAAGACAGCCATCAAGAGCTCCAGACTCAGGGTAAATACCCTGTGCTGATGGCTGTGCCAGCGACTCTGGGCCGGTGACTCTCTCGTCACAGTCCACGTGGAGCTCCGCTGGAGCTGCCGTAATGACCCTGTGAACACGGTACCCAAAGCAGGGGCTCGCCCGACCACTCCGTTACAGGGACACAGTGGTCCTCTGCTTGAGCCTGGCTTCCCCCAGAGAGACCAGTCACTCAGGCTGCACCAGCCAGGACACAGGCGAGGCCACTCTCAGTACCTGTTTCCTGACCTCTGAGTCAGGGTGACTTTTCAAACCACTGTCCACCTCAACACAGGGTGGAAGAAAGGGGCCACCACTTGGACGGACTGAGGCGCTGTGCAGGGAAGCCTGGCCAAGCCCCCGGCTGCGACAAGAGCGACCCACCTCTTGCGCAGCGTGGATTCGCACACCTTGACCACGCTGATGACCTCTTTGACGGTTCTCCGGAAATCGTGCATCCTGGCTGCAACTAGAAGTGCTGGAAAGGAACACAATGGAGAATTCAGAAACAGGGTGCTCCTGTCCAAACCAGGACCGATCCCGTGCGCAGAGGGCTGATGACCCCCTAGTGCGACCAGCTGGAAAGACAGTGCCAGAGGGTGCTCTGGGAGCCCCTGGGGCGACACCGTCCTCCTCACCTTACTGTGGGCAGTGCTGCACGGTCTGCACGACTGTCAGAACACCTAAGATCCACCAACCGCTTTGCAGGCAATTATACAATAATTTTTAAAAACGTAAGAAGTACTGCACATTCCTTTTTTAAACGCGAGAAAAATTAAAATACACTTTTTGAGAACTTTGTGTAAACCTCTCAAAGCAAACGAGTGAACTCTGAGGTGACCTGTGTGGGAAACGCTGGCTGGTGATGGACAAGCCAGGGATCGGGGAGAGAGGGAGTGGGCCCGGGTGTGCTGTGCTGGTGACCATAACTGGCTGGACCCTAGGAGAGGCCCAGATTCTGGACTGCAAACTCGGGAGATGGAAAATGCATCTCAGGAAGCACTGATCCTGCTGGCTGCTGAGCGCTCTGGAAAGGAGTGGACTCGACCTTGTGGGCCAAGGTAAGAGGCTAAGAGGAAGGGTAACGGCCCTCCTGGGGAGGGGCTCCAGGTCCAGGGAGCATCAGGAACAGAGCAGGAGGGCCGTCTGTGGGCTGCTGCCACCTGGAGGGGAGATGAGACAACTGTCCTTTGGGGAACGGGGAGCTAGCCCGAAAGCCCGGGGTGCCCTCTGCAGCAATGACCCAGCACGGCTGCACCTCAACATTCAAGCCTGGGGTCAAGGCCAGGAAGCCTGGCAGCCCGCTTGGCCTCTGAGGGTCCTGCCTGCTCCCCAAGACGGAGGGGAGGCCAACAGGAAGCAGGTGGAAGTCCCCGAGGGCCGGGTGAGGGCCGGGCAAGCGAGGCCAGCAGGCAGCCCTGGAGACAGCCCACTACCTACCGGCTCGGCCTGCTGAAGAGTCGGGACAGAAAGCGCCCGCACGCTGGCAGCGGGACGCAGCCAGCGCGACTCCGAGACCGCCTTACCTGCCCCACAGAGGCCCGAAGGGCGCCGGCCCGTGTGCATCCAGTCCCTCTTCATCCTCTGCAGGAGCCTCAGGGCCGTCATGGACACCTCGTGGTTCTTGTCACCGAACTCCAGCAGGTGGGCGAAGCGCGGGATGTACAGGCAGGGGTCTGCGGAAGACACGCACCTCAGCCAGCCGTACGCGCCCTGGGACAGGAGTGTGCAGTGCCAGGAGGCCCTGCGGTGCATGTGCTCCACATCTGGCAGCACACGGAAACCCACCTGGTGCGACAGGTGCTCCCCCGCCCCGCCCACCCTCAGGCCACCCTCCCTGTCCTTCCACGGCACAGGCTCCCCAGGGCCCCTTTCCTCCGACACGAGCCCCCCTCCTGGACACGCAGCCTCCTGGAGCAGCTGTAGACACTGCGGCCAGGTGGCTGCTGCACCCAGAGTGGAGCCGGTGGGCAGGACGTGCGTGCCCTGCCACGTGACATGGGGGCCCCAAGCCTGCGTACACATCGCACACGCTCCTGCAGACACATACGCAAAACCCGGCTGCTTAATTTGGCATTTTGTGGACTGCTGTGAGTCAGCCAATTTTTTACGTACTTATTTTCTGCACTTACTTTTGTGTAATGCCAGCTTATATCGTCTGCCCTCCTGTCTACGGGCGTGTGCACCTCTTCAGATGAACACGTCTCTCACTAAGGGAGCGTCAGCCCGGCTCAGGAGGGACCAGAGCCGCCTGCACACACACCCTCTCCCTCCTTACCAGCACTCCCTCACGCAGCTTTGGGCTAGAAGCTTCACAGAGCGGGCAAAAACCACCAAGTAATTTACTCAATTCAGCTAAGCGTCTGGATTGCCATAGGCAACTGAAGGAACCCTACAGAGCTCTATGACAGAGAATAGCGGGGCGAGACCTCCTTTGGACAAGATCATCCAGGAAGGTTGTGCTCAGGGGGCCGTGGCGGAGGCCCGAGGAGGGGGTTCCAGGAGGGGACGGGTCGGCCCGGAAGCAGGTGTGTACAGGCGGACGGAGGAGGATGAAGGGCAGGTCGGGAAGACCCTGGGAGGCACAGGACGGAAGGGAACTGGTCAGCTCATCTCTGACACCCCCAACAGCAGCGCAAGCAGGTGTGTCAGAGACCCCAGCTGTTTGCCAACACCCAGCACCGACCTTCTGGGCCCCAGCCTGCCCACTTCTCCTGGCCTCCCTACATCTACAGGGCATTCATGACTGAGCTCTGGTCCCTGGAAGCCCCATAGATCCTACGAGCACCTCTTCCATCCCTGCCGGCCTTGGCTCACATACAGGACCCAGGGAAGGTTTCTGAGGCCACAGCGATTGGCAGCCGCCCCTGAAGCATCCTGGGTCGCCCGGGACCGCATGGATTCAGGCGGACAATGCCCTGCACTGACCGAGGAGGCTGTGGTGGCGTAGGGAGCGGAGCAGTGCCTCTTGGTTGCCTTATGCCAGCCGGACCCTAACAGCCACCCAGCTCGGCCCAACCAACACAGTGTGGAAATTAATAAGGGCAACCTCGAGTAAAACGGAGGCAGGAAGTCCTGAAGGTGGCGCTCCCACACCGGGCCCTCCTTCCCAGCTTGCTTTGCGCTTCTGGGCTGGAAGAAGCTGGTGCGCTACCCGGGGAAGAGGAAAGAAGATTTTCTCCCGGCCCAGCAACAGCCCAGCCTATGAGAAACCGCCACACCCTCAACTCTCACTTTCCTCCAATGGAGACTGGAAAACTTTCAAAGCAGCCCCGCCCAACTTCCTCCCCGCCCCCCCCCCCCCCCCCCCATAAAGGAAGGCTCCTCTGCATTGTTGCAGGACTTGCTTGTGGTTTGCCATAGCTTGCGGGTCCCGAACTGCAATTCCCCTGCCTCTCCCGAGTAAACTCACGTTGCTGGTAACGTAACTGGCTGTTTTAGGTTGACAACAGGCAGCTACTACCACTTAACCCCCTTTTCAGAGACGACAAGGTGGCCAAGATGGGGCAGAGTCAGTTGAGCCTAGGCAGTCTGGAGCTACACCTACTTCCACTGTGGGTGTTTTGGGTTGGTTTGGGGTTTTGGGGGGTTATTTGGTTGCTTAAGATATTATTGGGAGAAAACATATTTTAAAAATATAATTGCTAAGGTTTCTAATTATTTACAATAAAACAAAACCCATCAGAACTGGGGATTAAATTAAAAGCACATTAAAAGATCTCATCCTGATTTGGGTGGAACTTCGACGCTGATTAGTTCTTGAAATAGAAAACTGTAGTACTGGTAAAAATTTCAAGGCAAACATGCCAGCAGTCTGGGATAGGTGTGGAATGGACTGGGGCATTTAAAGTAGGGAGAAGAAAAAAAAAAACTAGGAGAAAACAACAAACCACAAGTATAGATCACACAATGTAAGTTAAATTCCCTAGTCAGCTTGCACAAAAGCGCTAAAACCAGGATATGGTATTTACAAGAGACACTCAAAAATAATGCAAAAAGGTGAAGATCAAAAGGCTATGCTGGGACCCCTGAAGCAGTTCACCAGGAGAAAAAGGGCAGCTGTGAAGGGAGCAGCAACACGGGACTCAGGGCAAGGGATCACTGAAAGGGACACAGATGAATGTTTCTTATGATGGAAAGGACAAGATAATCTTAAAGAAGACAGAACAGTCACAAATCTGCAGACACACCGGGAAAGAGAAAGCATTAAATAAAGCAAAAAGTGTTGGAAACAGAAATTTCCACACTTGATATGAGATTTTAACATAACCACAATGATATGAGATTTTTAACACAGTTCCCTCAAATTTGACAGACTGGCTTAGCGGAAAAAAAAAGACCAAATGGGGAACTGGATGCCATCACCATAGGCTCAATTTAACAAATATGTTTTAAAGTCAGTACCTTACAAAAAGTAATCATTCTTTTCCAAAGTCTGCGGAACAGTTATGAAAATTGACCGTGTATTAAAGAACAAAGAAACCCTCCCTACATCCCAGAGAACAGAAATATCACAGGACGTGCCCTTTGACCTCAAGGGCAAGAAAACTAAAAATTAGCAAGACAAGGGTACACAGCCCCCTCACCTCCAGACAAACTGTTAGGAAATTAAAGAACAATTTTCTAGGTAACTTAATAGACTTAAGTGCTTAGGTAAGGACAAAATAATGAACTAAGTAGTTAAATAAAAAACTGACAAAGTGAAATATCTAAAACAGGCAAAAAAGAAGACTTAAATAGACATTTCTCCAAACACGATATACAGATGTCCAACTGGCACATGAGAAACTGCTCAACATCACTAATTATTACAGAAATGAAAATCAAAACTCCAACGAGGTACCACCTCATAGCAGTCAGAATGGCCATCAAGAAAAAAAACTGTACAAATAATAAATGCTGGAGAGGGTATAGAGAAAAGGGAACCTGTAAATTGGTACAGCCACTATGGAGAGCAGTACGGAGGGTCCTTAAAAACCACACCCAGAACGACCATGCGGCCCGGCACTCACAATCCTGTACCTGTGTCAGGAAAAGACGCGCCTCAGCGCCCACAGCAGCACAGATGTCCATTGAGAGACGAGTGGATGAAGATGTGGTACACAGATACAACGGAATATTACTCAGCCATAAAAAAGAAAAAGAGACTTCCCTGGTGGCACAGTGGTTAAGAATCCACCTGCCAATGCAGGGGCATGGGTTCGATCTCTGGTCTGGGAGGATCCCACATGCCACGGAGCAGCTAAGCCCGTGCGCCACAATTACTGAGCCGGCGCTCTAGAGCCTGTGAGCCACAACTACTGAGCCCGTGTGATGCAACTACTGAAGCCCACGCGCCTAGAGCCCGTGCTCCGCAACAAGAGCAGCCACCGCAATGAGAAGCCCCTGCTCCCGCAGCTAGAGAAAGCCCGTGCGCAGCAATGAAGACCCAATGCAGCCAAAAATCTTTTTTAAAAGAAGGAAATAATGCCACTTGCAGCAACATGGATGGACGTAGACATTATCATACTAAGTGAAGTAAACCAGAAAAAGACAAACACCATATGATGTTGCTTATATGTAGAATATTAAAAAAACAAAAGAGATACAAACCAACTTATTTACAAAACAGAAAGAGGCTCACAGCCATAGAAAACTTATGGTTACCAAAGGGGAAGGGGCGGGGGATGGATAAATTAGGAGGTGGGGATTAACACATATACACCGTTATATATAAAATAGATAACCAGTAAGGACCTACTATAAAACACAGGAAACTATACTCAATATTTTGTAATAGCCTATAAGGGAAAATAATCTGAAAAAGTACACATATACATGTATACACATATGTATCTATATATAATTGAATCAAGGTGCTGTACACCTGAAACTAACATGATATTGTAAATAACTATACTTCAAAAAAAGCTAACTAAAAAGATTACATGAGTGTTGCAAAGCGGGCTAAAAAAGGGGAAATGGAAATATTATTTCTAAAGCCAAATGAAACATTAAAAAAAAAGGTTAAAAACCTCCATCTTAAGAAAAAAAATTAATACAGGAAAAAAGGAGTAATAAAGAAAAGTAAATGTATAAGTAAATTACTTTCACCAGGAAAAGAATTTTAGAAGATAAAACCAAAAACACTATGGTGCTGGTACAAAGACAGATATGTAGAGCAATGGGACAGAATAGAGAGCTCAGAAACAAACTCACACATGCACAGTCACATGATCTCTGATAAGGGTGCCAGGAAGGACTGACTACACAATGGGGACAGGGTAACGTCTTCAACAAATGGTGCTGGGAAAACTGGACACCCACATACAAGAGAAAAAAGATGGACCGTTATCTCACACATCATATACAAAACTCAACTCCAAATGAATTAAAGACCTAACCGTACGACAAGAAACTCTAAAACTCCTACAAGAAAACGTCGGGGAAGAGCATGACATTGGAATGTGCAATGACTTCTTGAATATGACACCAAAAGTACAGGCAACAAAAGCAAAAACAGACAAATGGGACTATACCAAACTTAAAACCCTCTGTGCAGCAAAGGAAACAGTCAACAGAGTGAAAAATGCCACCTACAAAATGGGAGGAAGTATTTGCAAATCATGCATCCGGTAAGGGATAAATCTCCAGAATACGCAAAGAACGCCTAAATCTCAGCAAGGACAAAACCAACCCGATTCAAAAGGAGGCAAAGGAGTCCAAGAGACTTCTCTCCAGAGACACAGAGGTGACCAACAAGCACCTGACGCGGTGCTCCACATCACTGACCGTGAGGGACTCAAACCCACCGTGAGACAGCACCTCACCTGTTACAGTTAGGACGGCCGCCCAGGGGGTCGTCTCTCCGGGAGTTCATCCCGTCCCTTCCGCCCCTGATAGTCCCACGGACTCCGGACCGCACAGGGTTGGCCTCGAAGAGGGGCAGCCCCTACGTCGGACCTCGGACCACGCCAAGATCACCAAAGCCGCCGCCGGCCGTCCCGCCGCGGGCACGCGCCCACACGGTCCCTCCCGCATCTCCGCGGCCGGATTCCAGCAAGCGCCCGCGCGGGGCGGGGCAAGGCGGGGCGGGGCAAGGCGGGGCGGGGCAAGGCGGGGCGGGGCGGAGCGGGGCAAGGCGGGGCGGGGCGGGACAAGGCGGGGCCGGACAGGGGAGGGCGAGCACGTCGGCCGCGCGGGGCGCAGCCGGGCAGGGGGCGGAGCCACAGGCGAGCACGTCGACCGCGCGGGGCGGGGCCGCG